TCATTAGTTGTAGGCATTTCACACATACCATACATGCATGATTACTATATACTACCATACAATACATACAGTGTCAATTATACACTATATATTTGCTATATATCCGAAGAATATTTCGTTTGATTAGAATAAGATCTACTACTTTTATCTATTTTTATTTATTTTGTGTAATCGATTTTTGCCGATTAATCAGATTAAATATAAAATCATTACAATTAAACGATTTTAACCGAGTTTGAAAATTTTAATTGATTTTAGTTTCAATTTTCAATTTTGGCGATTTTCACAGTTTCGATTTTGATCCCTACTTCATATGAGCTACCAGAATTAAAAAGTACTAAGTAATTGGCATTTTTATGTATAAACATTTCTATTTTATGATATTTCTGTGCCACATATATGCATGAAATATTCCGATATCGACCATTCCCAAAAATTGGCAGATTTGTTTCTGTACATGCTTTGGAGTAAGACATAAATCCTCAAAAATAATTGCTGTGTTTCTCTCAAGCAAAAATGATCTTATACTGGGAATTTTTTCAGGTGAGATGTATTTGAAAGTAATATTTTCATAATAAGGCGCTTTTGGGTCTTTTGAAATTGTGCTATACATATGTCTTACAAATGCTCATTTTGGTTCATCAGGATGGTAACTGCAAACTATCAAATCATCACATGCAATATATTTAGACCCGCCTTTTTTACTTTTATATATACATTCAGATATATTACCAAGAAAAAGATTCGCCAAAATATTAGTCTTACCTGTTCTACTTATCCCTGTGACCACCATACTAAAGGGGCAGTCAGGACTCGCTTCATGGCCTTTCGCCCGAGATAACGTATGCTTAGTGGCCTCATCCATATCTATAAGGTAAAGTTTCATAGGGGGTAGTTCTGTCTTTTGGTTCTTCTGCATAACGGATTGGGAATCTATAATTCTGATTTCTATTTAAGGGTATTTTATAATTCAGAAGATTTTTTTCTTTATTGTAAGATGAAATAAAAAAAATATAGATAAGAGGATATGCATCATAGAAAGTATATGATTAGTAATACTATTACAAAGATGATTGCATGCTAAAAAAAGAAGGAATTAGTTTCCCCTACTTCTAGACCAGTAATAGAGTGCAAGTGGAGCAATGCTAAAGTAGTATTAGAGATATTATTTTCCTCAATTACCTGGATTTCAAAGGAATCAGGGTTGGGTTTTTTTTCAAAATTGGTTAAATGTTTTTTTATACAAGCATTGGCCTCATGAAGAAGGGAATCTTTTTCTGATAATGCCTTTTCTAGGCAAGTATTGACATCTTGAAGGCGGTAGTCTTTTTCTGATAATACTTTTTGTAACACCTCTAATATATCTTCCTTAGCAAGTTTTTTTCGAGTTCTATTACTTTATCTTCGAGCCTAAGCTCATAAACAATACTTCTTAAATTATCATGAAGCCAATCTGGTAGCTTTGGCATTTCTACCGGCTCTTCTATCACTCCTTTCATTACATTTAAATCATGATATGTACGCTCTAGATTTATGTTCTCTAACTTACTTTCCAATTCACATATTTTAGTTTCAAAAGAAAGAATCTGAATCTTGTTAGCGGATGAAGCTTTCTGGGCCAAAATTGCCTCTCTCTTTAGTGTTTTAATATTGGATTTGAGCGATTTGATTTCAGCAGAATATTTGGCTTCAAGCTCACTATTAGCTGTATTTAGCTGACTAAACTTATTGTTAAAACCCGAACAGATACGATTAAAATCCTTCACTCACTCTAAATATATATCCTGCAGGTCTTTATAATCATTAGCAATATCAGAAGCAGTTTTGATACTACCACGCAATGCTTTCTCAAGTTCTGATTCACAGATGCTACTAAGCCGATGACCTGGAGGAATGTTTTTACTTAGTGAATCCTCAACCATCCCTCTATTCTCAATATCTCTTAAAGTATATACATTGAGCATATTTTTTGGTTTAATCATTAGTATACTAAAAAATATGAGCGGATTTTTGAGACTACACAATCTGAAAACACTTTATTTTTTATGGATATTAGTTTCTCATTAGCATAGCTAACCTGGATGAACACCCTTCCGCAGTTTGTTAGAAGGCTTATTAATTAGCCAGAACAAGTGGCAGAAATTGAATATAATCATTACTGATAAAAAAATCATGCCTAGGTATTAAATCTGATGTTCCTCTTTCACCTGAAGTAATTCGTGAAATTATAGATGCTAGGGGTATAAGAAATATATTATCAGTTTTAAGTAAGATTGCTTGTCTAAACTCATTTTGGATTTGGCAAAACGATAAAACCTTTAGTTTCACTAAATTTTTACTAAGTGTTTGATATAGTTTCGCCATTTTTATAAGCTTTGATATAGTTTTACCTTTTTTCAAATTTCGCAGATTTTTCAATAAGGTTTTAATATAATTTAACCAAGTTTTACTTTTAACATTTAGACGTCTATCTAAACTCTTGATTTCGTCCAGCAACCTTAGTTTTAAGTAAAAAAATATAAGATATCGAAGATACATATTTATAAAATCTGGCGAGGACAAGAACATCCTTCTGATCCTTCATTAAAGAATAATCAGCATAGTAGTCAAAATATTGATTGGGATAAAGAAATCGAGATCATATATGACTTATATGCTAAATTTTCTTACTAATAATTTTCAAAAGATTTCATATATCCATATTTTTTAAAAATTATTAATAAGGTCTGGTCTTTTTCAGAAATTATCAAAGAAATTCAATAATGTTTAATAAATATTGATTACAATACTTGGATAATGATCGATAAATTCTGATTTTTATCAATTATTTTTTTATTTAATAATTATCAATAAATGGAATATCTATCCAAGGAATATTACTGTACAGATGCCACCTATTTATCACCTGAAGAAATTCGCAATTCCTGTAAAAAAGTTAAAAATGCTGTAATAGTAATGACAAAAAAACATCACATTTCTATTTGGCGAGTTTATGAAATTTGACGTAGATCTGTAATGGAGCAACCCAATCGTTTCCAACAAGGTAGGTCAGATAACCAAAGCCTAGGTAATCCTAATATTACTTCTCTGCCTTAGGATAATATATTGGAAGACGCTTTGCTAGAATGTAACAGTTCCTGATAGCAAGAAGAAAAAGACTGGAGGAAAGAAGTGATCCCAAGGGGGTCAAGCAATGCCTGAAACAAAAAAAGAAATTATTTCACCTACTGAATCCTCTGAAGATGTCTTGGATTTGTATAAGAGAACTGATAATACTTTAGAAGAAATTAAAGCAAGAGGTCATCCTCTTATTTCCAAATAGTTATTCGTCTTATTCAATCTGACTGCGCAAACTATTATAGTATCCTATGATTTTCAAATTTGATTGAATGCTAGAAAATAATACCTTTTCAAGCTCTTTCATACGAATTGCCATATCCTTATAGTTCATGCAGTTTACGCACTTTTTTTTAAGTCTTTCTTACTAATCAGATTAGAAGAATTAGCTAAAACCTAAGAGCCAAGAGGTGCTTCGCATAATGATTCCTGATCTCTTTTGGCAGATCATTGACTACCGGAGCCTTGCTAAAGGTTGGGATAATATATAACTTTCCATGTAACTTTATGTGAAACTGGTTTTTATTTAGCTTAGAGACGCCTTGAACCTTTTGAATGTTTGATATACCAAAAAATAGCATTAGTTCTGTTTCACCATTATCAATACAAACAAAATTTTCAATAACTATGACTGTCTTATCTTCTTTATCTTTCAAGATAACTGACACGTCTGTATACCATCCTAATGAATCAGTGATATGCTTGAAATTGCCCTTTATGGCAAAATTAGATGGTTTATCAGCCTTCCATTCAAGCGCCTTAATTGCTGGGTTATTTATACCACCAAATTTACTGCCGGAATCTAAAAAAGATTCAGAAATAGTTAAGTCATTTATATTAACATTCAGGTATTGTAAAGATGACAACCACTTGTCTTATTCCTCCTCCTGAGCCTTTCGAGACAAGCACATTTTTTGTATTAGTGGTGAGAGTTTAGACAATAGCTGATCGTATGTTTCAGGTTAGCTAGATTCTAAGGGTGAGATTGCATTAGTATCACCGGCCAACTTATCATTTACTGGTACCTGTTTTTTTCCAGTGCATAATACCAATCATTATCTGCTTTGTCATAACCATCCCCATCATTTTTCTCACCATCTGAATCGGGAGGAACTATTGGTGTAAGAGGCATAAAATAAGACCAAGTGAAATTAGATTGAGCTACCGGTATTTTTGGATAACTTCCTTTGCTATAGCCCATTTTCCCACAAATATCGCATTTACGTATATTTAGTTTCTGAAATATATCAGTTAACTGATTTATATTATTCTGAGTTTCCTTAAGTTCTACTTCAATCCTATCAAATCTTGTAGAGTTATTGTTTCGTTGAGGACGGGGTCTTTGAAAAGGCTTTACAGAATAATCTGAGTCTAAATCTTCCTTATTAAGTAGACCTACTTCTTTTAAGTATTCGTTTACATAATAATTCTTGAGACCTTCCTCTGTTTTCAATGTAAATAGTGAACCTTTCGGCTGTCTAATCAGTTCAACAGTATGTGGAGTAGTTACTTGCTGAGCCATTTGCGATTGAAAATCAGATTTTTGCTTTTCTAATAAAGACTGGTATTCAGTTTTTTGCTGTGCCAGTGCATTTTGAATTGCTTTTTGCATATCTGCTAAGGAAATTCCTTGCTGTTGAGGTACGTTATTGGAAATAGCAGGATGGGCTGATGTATAATTAAGATATGGTAGTAGTGATCCTAATATCCCACTACATAATTCCATTTTATCTAAACTATCAAGAATATCATTAATAGGCTTATGATGACCAATCATAAAGATGTCATTCAATATATCACGTTTTTCTCCAGACATAAAACTTGTTTTCTTTTGATCAGGAGTATAATCCAATTGATTTCCATACTTTTGAATTTTCGCCCAAAAAGATGTTACACTTTCATGTATTCCTTGTTTTAATGTTCCAATTTCAAGCATTCTTAAATACCTATCAGCAGATGGAAAGTGTTTTTTAATTCGATGTAACCTTTGTCCAGATCGAATTCCTGCAAGAATAATAGGAAGACCACCTCCAGCATTTACCGCAACTGGTCCTGCATTAGTTGATTGTCTTCCAGCTATTGTCCAATCTTCATCAAGTCCTCGAGCTGGAATAATGTCTGCACCTGCTAGGCCTAGTGGGACATTTGGAAAAGATGCGACCGCTCCTGTTATAGCTCCTGCATTAGCATCACAAATGGCTCCAATAGTAGCACTTATGGCAGAATTATCTAACACATTCTGTAATTCCCAGTTTTTATTATCAAACTCTCTACGATACCACTCTCGCACTTCTTCCTTTACTGATCGGTCCAGTATATTGTAAATTCTTTCTTCATTATTTATATTTGCTAAATTGATATATGCTATAAAATCATCTACATACTTTTCATGATCTTGTTTGAAGCTACATAATTCAGGCATTACAAACCCTGCAGGTAAAGTCATGTTTATTAGATTTGGTAGGTTATTCTGTAACGCTAAAATTTGTCTCTGTAAATTTAAAATATTCTGGCAAGAATTTTTTTCTTTAGCCTTCTATTTCTCATATCGCTCATAGAGCCTGTCTCGATTATATTCTAACAGACCTATATTTTCTCTACTTCGCTGTAGGTGGTGAGCATTTCACTGATATAATAATTGTAAAGCAATTTTTCTTGTATTAGTTCACCTATACATGTTTGCTTTCTTGCTATATTACCTATCATTTTATTTACTTGGTTTTGAGTATTAGTTTGATATTAATAGAGATCACCAACAATCGTGGCCATCTCTCCTTCAGCAAGTTGCCTTTATATTATTTCATTATTCCTTTCAGCCTCTGCATCATAACACCTTCGTCGCTTACAGACTAAATCCTGATGCAAATTATTTTCTTTCCGGCAAATTTGCCTTGTTGCCCTTTTTATTTGATCTATTAGAATATCTCTAGTTGTTGTCCTATTATCCACATAACCATCTATAGCATTTGCTAGCTCTGTGATTGTTGCCTTTTTTTTTTATTTTAGACGCGGTGAAGCATTTATTTATTTAAAATTCAAAATTCGATTAAAAAAAAGAAAATTCCCAAGACAGGTACAAAAGTAGAAAAATAAAGTAAATGCTGCTTAGCTCTCTTCGAAGGGTTTAACCAACTCCGACCAAACCAACCGGTTGTCCCGTCATGTTCCTAAACAACTACTATGAGAAGAAAAGTCACTACATGACTAACGAAAAAAGAAATAGACAACTAGTTTTCACTGCATTAAAAAGAGGCCATGAACAACCATGAATGTAAGAATCGTAAAATAAGTTAGTAAATTTAGAAATCGATGAGAACGTTGTAGAATTAGGAGAAAGAGATGAATTAGTGGATTTAGAAAGTTTAGGAGCTTTGGTTGGTGTATAGTTTTTTCTTTTTTGTTATTCCAAGTCGCAGTTCTGTGGTGATAGTCAAATCACATCTAGGAATCCAGATTAGTGTGATTGCTTGAGTTTGTATATGATCATACAACACGGAAAGAATAATCACAGTTTTTTTGTTGCATTTTGTGAAATTATTTATGCAGAAGAATAAATGGCTGAGAACAATTCCTTTAATCATATCAACAATGTTGAGCTTCGTGGTTGAGTTCGAGGTCGGAGTCCAATAATCGAAAGTTGGATTCATTAAAGTAATTAATTCATTAGACCATTCTTTTTTAGAAGTATGAATGAAAAGTTGTTCTTTTAGTATAACAAAGGCATTGAGTACAATCTGGTTAAGTATTCGATGATTTTTCGGACAAAGCCATATGTGTTCGAATGTTTCTTTGTCAATGATACATTTACAGCAAGTCCAACTGTTATCATATAAGTCAGGTCTTGAGATCTTAAGACTTTCAATTGAAGGAAGAAGTTCCAAAAGGAGCTGGTATTTCTGCTTATGATGATATGATTTTTTGAATGTGATTTAGTTCAATGGTTCAACGTTAATGAGTTAGAAGGTGCAGAGCCAATTAATAGAGATTTCAGAGTATTTGGAGTTCCTTTTGAGACTGAGAAAATCAGTGATGTAATGTGTATTTGTGTAATCTTTAAAGAAGGATCGGATTTCCTTGTTGATAGGCAGGTTATGAAATGTAAGAACGAATGGTATATAAGGAACGTGAGTGATCGAGAGTGTTATGGGAGTTTGCATCAAGGCAGATTTTGCTAGTCTATCCACGTTTTTATTATAAGGATTCCTTGAATGAGATTTGACTTTAACTAAGGTAAGAGCGATCTGGTTTTGTTTTATGATTTTAAGTATGAAACACCAAAAGAGATAAAAAGGAGTTTTAAGAAGAATGGAGGGGTATCTGGAAGCATTTGTTTGTATTAGTCTATTGTAAATGAGAATAAGATTTAAACTATCAGTATTGATGGTAATATGAGAATTGAAGGGATAAATAAGCAGTGTTAGTAATGTTACACTAAAATCATTAGGATGATCTTCCTAATGTAGATCCTTAGAAAACTATGTTAACTTTGTTAACTTCGTT